CAATGTTACATGGTGTGACATCTCTATCACAACTCAATTGCATGTAATGTTGTGAGCAATGTTACATGGCGTGACATCTCTATCACAACTCTATTGCATGTAATGTTGTGTGCAATGTTGCATGGTGTGACATCTCTCTCACAACTCTATATTGCATATAATGTTGTGTGCAATGTTGCATGGTGTGACATCTCTATCACAACTCTGTTGCCTGTGATTTTACATCGATCATGCAGAGGTCTCTAGATGGAGTAGCTTTTAACCTACCTCATCTGATATGCACAGGCCACCACGTTCTCTGATCAGTTCGTAGGCTTTTTTCAAATAACCTTTGGGAAGATGAACACTTCCACCAACTCCCTATGAATATAAACAACTCAATTGTAAAACCTTTAACTGGTAGAACATTCAAAAAACACTTTTTTCACTTCTACCTTTGTGCGCTCTGCTACGAGCCAGAGCAGATTTTGTATGAGGCAGCGAAACAGCAAGACCATATGAGGGAATAAGCCTTTTGTTTAGATGGCAAAAAAAGTTGGACTTCCCTTACCCAAGGATTGCCAAGTTTGCTGGATTGCGAATGTCATATCCAAAACCTTTTTTAAAATACTTTTTCCCCTTTATAATATACTTTCGTTTGCCATCCAGCAGAGCCTTCCCCAAGGGACCTTGAGCTGAATCCATTCGTTATCAAATTCATATATTAGCATGTCAATTCTGATTGCAAAGGAGAACATGTTAAACGCTTTCATAAAGGAACAATATTACACTTTCCAATCCTTTCTTTCTTATTATTTAGACCCCTGTTTTCAGAATTAAAAATAAAAATGTTAAGCAAAATTACCACTGCGCTCCCTAAATTTTAAATTAGGCAATAGACCCTTTTCGAATTCCAAATTACCGCTGTGTTCCTTGATTACAGACGCATTTACTCAGGGTTAGCCTCATATCAGTGTCTAAATATTCACAAATACCAACAGTAAAGTAAAGAATGCAAGACTTCAACAATACAAACACTTTGCAACTCGACGGACCTTGACTGGAACACGTGAATATTCTGCACAAAATCGAGGCTAAGCCTGAGTAAATGAGTCTGTAATCAAGAAACACAGCGGTAATTTGGAATTCTAAACTGGTCTATTATTTCTCTTTAGTTTCCATGTATATTACCTGGATCGTTTCAGCAATAAAACCAGCAACCTTTTTTCCATTGCAGTGAATCAACATATCTTTTAACTGCTCGACATATTTGTCAGATGCCTCGCATTGACCTTGAAGCATTCAAAACAAAAATATATATTAATTCTAAAATAGACCCCTTTACCTTAATCACAATGTTTTCCCGTTTCAGACCACATGTCATTCCCTAGAGTAGTCACCTTGTAATGATAGTGACGTGAATAATTGTTCAAAGGGTTTAAAAAAAGGTCTCTATGATGATACTAGAGAAAAACGTTTGCGCATGCGTGTACTTCAGCACGTTTTCTAAGAATTTAGAAGAGTTTGAGTGAGAAAATAAATGTTTGTTTTCTCCAAGTATACAAAAAAGTTCGCGATACTTTTGTCACACGAAGATACTGTATTAACAAACACAATATGAAAGAATTAGCCTTAAGTTTAAAGCATGGACACTAAGTTTTGGCATTTGGTGAAGCCCACTTACTTAGGCATGTTTGAAAGTCAAATTTGCATATATTTTGACTAATTTACATACGGATTCAGAGCATGTGCAGACGTTTTTCACTCGTGTCCTCTATGATTGATACCTTTAAAGTTGGAGCAGGGAACTGTGAGGGGGAATATACAAACAAAAAATCTTGTTCTCAAGAGATGGATATGTGGTTTGAAATGGGAAAACATTACGCCCAAGGTGAAGAGGTCCATTTTTTTAATTACTGAGCAACATAAATTTTCATATTTTAGAAGCAATTAACAGAATGCTGACATAACCAGRTTGGTCAAAATGGGTATAGCATGCAATCCCCGACAATTTAAACATGCATATACAAGGGCAGATCCAGGGGTGGCAAAGGGGGGCTGAAGCCCCCCTTTCAGCAGAAAAAAACGATGCTTTTTTATATCGTTTTCCGTTGTGTTGACGGAAGAAACTCAATTAGTCCCCCCTAAAATTTTGGCTTGATCCGCCCTTGATATACCAGACTAATACTGGCAGAAAAACTGTGCCCAATCAATCTCATGTTACTCACCCGGAGAACAGTTACATGTTCGTTGCGTCTGTTGAATAGAAAAGGGGAAATTAATTTTCTCTGATATCTTTTTAAGGCCCCGTCCACAGGTATCTGAAAATTTTTGAAAACGGAATTTTTTATTCCGTTTTCAAAAAATCCCGTCCACAGCGTTTTCGGTTCGTTTTTGCCTGTCCACTTGTATCCGTTTAAGTTGCGGCTTCAAGTTTCGTATTCAACGGATACGTGAGGAAGGAAAGTCAATCCGTAAAGAAAAATTCCCTCTTAAAAAATATTCAGAAACGAGTGTGGACGAAGCCTAAAGCTTCAATTCTTTCCTTCGCTGATTTTAGGTTTTCTGTTGCCATTCAAGCAAGAAAGAAAATTGCAGGTTGTATCATCTTCCACAACAACAGCGACGATTCCTCACATTTGGTCAATACCTTGAAACAACCTCTGGGCTGGTGATCAAAGTCAGGGCAAGGCCAACTCACAAATCATGAAATATTGAAACAACCTATGGGCTGATCGAAGTCACGGCACGGCTAACACACAGACGTATTTGAAATTTAGCTTGTTGAGTTTGTGCTGAGGAATAGAAACCGGAGAAAACCCGTTGAATCAAAGGAGAGAACCAACAAACTATACTTACTTGTGACCGAATCCAGGAATCAACCCCGAGACCCCAGAGGTGTGAAGAGGTTAGTCCACCCTTGAGTCCCACTATGCCTTGTGACAACAAGAAATGTTGCAGGTGGCTACATCGTAGTTATTATCATAAACCTACTAATGGTCTATCGCGAATCCTGCGCCCTGATTGGCTAAGCAAAAAAGGCCAGTTGAAAAAACCAAAACAACGCGAACAATACATTATTTTAACCTAATTTCAAAATTGTTTGTATCTATTATTGCACCAATAAGTATTGGACTATGATTCAATAGCCCCTTTGGGCCTCACGGGCTTTTGACTCGCAGAGTATTCGGGCTACGGGTCTATTTGTCAAATAAGACTATGGCTCCATAGAGTTTTATGGCGCGCGCTGCGTGAGCATGCGCAATACCGCTACTTCGAGCCACCGGCGACAAATTTAGACTGCACACGTGTACCATTGTACTTCAATTGTTCTACTCTTTAACTGCTTATCACTGTTGTAATGTTTTATTTTCATTGTTCATATTGAATACGTGCATGTCAATGTTGTTCGTTTATGAATCTTACCTGTGCAACAGAATCTCTACAGTTTGCTCCACCCCAAGGTCCTCGATACACATCAGGATTCATAGTCTGAAAACCATTCAAAACAATGTAAAAAATCTATCATTCATAGAATGATTATGGGGTTTTTATTATCTGATAAAAGTTTTTGAATCTCATTATCTGCTCCACATGGTGGTCAAACACTGACCACCATGTGCTGTCAGCCAGAAAGAATTCTATTGAAAACTTGCGAATCAGCTGATGAACATTCCACACGAGACAGGAAATGACGTCAAGTGAAAGCCAGGAATAAAGCTTTTAAGATGTGAGGCCGGTATTTCCGGGTGCATCTTATTTAACTTGCACCTGAAAATATTAGAACTTTGGACAACAAATCCTGTCGCGAAGAAAATGTAAGATGAACCTTTATAAAACTGCTTTTTGTTTTGGACCCGGAAGTCGTTTTTCCATACAGGTGACGTCACACTTAAAAGCTCTATTGAGTCTAACGACCGGAAGTAGAACCTGCCGAGCTACGAACAAAATTTAAAAACCTCAGATGTTGAATACGAACCGCAAAGTTTCCGAAGCTGATAGGAGCGTTTGGTTTCCATGGAGAGTGGCTCAGAACTCCAAGCAGTGAAGAAGAAGTACCATGGTAAGAGTTCCTGGTAAAGATGAAAAAAGACATTAGACCTGGATTACAAGAGCCAAACAATTATCTTGAAAAAATCGTTTTAAGACAAAGTAGTTTTGGTATGACTTCGCGTGCCTTGGCGCGACCCTGATGTTTTCTAGAATTTTCAGTTGGTTTCACTGATTTTTTTCTTGCGCAATGTGATTGGTCTGGCAGTGTCGTGACCTTAGCGTGACCGTGTGCGCGCCCGTGTTCCGGGTATTTGATTGGATGAAGAGTAAATTCTCGTGCAATGTGATTGGTCTGGCGAATGCCTTGCCGTGTCACGACCGTGTTCGTGCCGTGAGCTTTTCTCAGTCGTACGAAATCTGCTCTATGCAAATGACCCATTTCAGACCACGTGACATTCCCACGAGAATTGTTCTTTCATGACGAATATTTTAAAATATTTACATATGAAAGAATCAACTCCCAAGAGTGGTTAGCTTGCGTGCGGACCGAGTTAAATTTGGTCTGCACGCAGGTTAAAGAGTGGCATCACATGGTCGGAAATGGAGCAACAAACAACCAAGGTAAAGAGGTAAATTCTCGCGTAAAGTGATTGGTCTGGCGTATGCCTTGCCGTGTCATGACCGTGTTCGTGCTGCGAGCTTTTCACAGTCATACAAAAACTGTTCTATATGGCTACAATCAGCAGCATGCAGCAAAATACTACAAAAAACTTAAACAACAAATTTGCTATAAAAAGAAAAAACAAGAACTAATCTTTACGGGAATTATTCCAGCGATCGAGATCCCTGAACTTCTTTTAGTCCATTTTAACAAAGTACTAGGCTAGGAAAGTACCAGGATACCTTTCAGCTTTACTAGCACATAACAGTAACCCGACCTCTTTACATTGGGCTTAATATTTTTTTCCCATTACAGACCATGTCATTCGCTAGAGTATCATTTCTTTGTTTAACGGTTGCACATGAGAAGACACTTGAATATGGATACAACTCAAAAGAAGGAACTTATTCTCAAGAGAGTGACAGATGGTCTCAAAGTGGTTTATCAAAAGTAAAAATATAAACAATAAAGAGGAAGCCATATATAGGTAACAGCCACCCCCCTGATATCATTCTGGACCTGTAGAGTACCTGAGGTGAACAATGTCAAAGTTTCCAGTGTGTATCCTGGCCATCAGCAGAGCCAAATCATTAGCTTCAGATCCACTATTTACAAAATGACAAACCTTGGTTGAAAAACACTTAATATGAGTTTCGACGAGCCCTGTAAGTCCATCGTTAGTTCTGAGCGGGTTTTCTGGTTGTTCATTATTAATTCTGCTCTGATTTAGTTTATTGTCATACCTTGGTTTATCACTACAGTGGAACCCGCCTTACGACCACCCGCTTAATACGGCCACCCCGTTATTGCGGCCAGTTTTTTAGGTCCCAACGAAACGCCCATACATTTTCTGTAAAATTTACCCGCCCGATTGACCAACTTCCATACTTGTTAACCCCGTATTATGGCCAGGGCAAGTTGGACTTAAAAATATTCATATTTCACTTAATTTGTTATATAGTTACGTACTGATCAACAAAACACGTGTTTTTAATGTATTTTTTGACAGCCCGCTTAATAATAGGAATGTCCCTTCAGTGGCCGAATTAACGGGGTTCCACTGTAGTTTTTTTAGATTTTAATGGCGCAAAATTGGTGAGTGCACTCCCAGGAAAAAAAATAATCTATAGACCAATTTCAGTGACTTTATATAAAGGTTAAAACGCTAGGGCGAGAGTTTGCATTGAAATTCCAGACCAAGGGCCACAGGTCACAGGCCACCCGAGCATGTGCATTTTAACTGGTTTAAAAACCAACCTTGCTGCACGCCTTATTACTAATGTTTGATTTCAATAGAAAACCTGTCCCGGATTTTTTAATTCAGCCCCTATGCTGGATTCAAAACCTGGGAAAGGTTTTCCATCAAAATCCTTTACCCAACATCAAGCAATAGAAATAGGGTGTGCAGCATAGTTGGTTTTTGAGCACTTGTTTTTACTGAGTAATGATTGATCGGGTAAAATATGCAGTGCCAGCTTTCCAGAAAACCAGCTAGACTAGCTAGCCAGCAAGCCATTAGTTAAAGGAACTGCCGATGTAAAAACAAAGCCTTTACCTCTAACCTCCCCTCCCCCTCTTCATTCCCCAAGGTCATAAAGGGCAACTAAACCCAAAATAGTAGAAAGTTCTTTTCATACCTTGAGGTTTCCTGGAAACCTTTCTGTCAACATGTCAGCATACTCATGGATGGAAGGGTGCATATATATGTTAGTAGTGTGCCACAGCTTGTCCATTTGAGCTTTAGCTGCCTTGTTCACATGCCTGAACAATTATCAATTAAGAATGAATATCTAATAATCAGAGGGCAGTCAGTTATTTCCTTGGAGGTGTTGGGTAGTCAAATGTTTGGGTAGGTGGTGAGGAAAATTGTATTAATAGAATATAGCACTTTTAAAAAATGTTCTACTAATTTAAAGCTAATTTCTTTCTTAGGTTAATCTATCCTCCCACCAAAAAAATTGCTGAATGGTTTTCCTCTAACCCTTTTCTAAGCTATAGTCTGCAGTAAAGATGGACTGGTTGAGACAGAGTTAAGGTGGGCCTGCTGCACACACGCTTAAATCTAATGTTCCCCTCATTCTTTAGTTAATAAATAGATAGTTCACGTCTAACATACGGATGACAATGACCAACACCAACAGTGACAATCCCTGCAAAGAAATCCAGGTAACGCTTGTTGTTCGTGTCCCAAAGCCATTGCATGTGACCCTGGAAAAGAATTGACACACCACTTGCAGCCGTGCAGCTTACAATCATGACCCCATCAATATGTCCCCCATTTTACTTTAGGTTAGGAAGGGTTGGGAGACAGGGCCTACGGTTTTAAGTCCTTATCCGAGAAGACTTGAAGGTCTAACCATTTGCAGATAAACGATAATATTAAAATTTAGAAGTTGATTCTTTAATTTTTATTGGGTCTTTCTAAGTGTAGCAAGCTTTATTGTATTCTGGGTTGGGTTTTTTTGTTTTTCAGGGCATTGTTTAGCTCCAAATTCATTATTCCAAATTCATTCCTTGGCTATTGTTTTATCATGTTCATGCTTCAGGTGCTTTGCAACACTAAGAGAGAGAGCCATTTTAATTGTGAAGGAATCTGGAAAACTGGAGTATCAGGAGAAAAACCCTTGAAGCTAACAGTGAACCAACAAATAAAAATATTACACTAAATAAACCACTAAATAAAAAAGTTGAGTTAAGAACCAACAAACAACTCTACTCACACAAACAACAAACAAGCTGATCAGATTGGAAGTCCATACCAGGTCACATTATTGAAAGGCATGCGTTAATGATTAGGCCATCTCAATCATCTCCAACTGGCAACTACACTTTCATAAGCATGGAGGTAATTAATACTTACCTTCCAAATATAAACAGGGTTCTTGTAATATGTTACCAGGCCAGGACTTAACTTTGTTTTTCTGATTTCTTTTGCTTTTTCAAATGAAGTACCCTAACGAAAAAAAAGTGATAACAAAAAGTTTATTTCAGCATAATAATGTTACAACAATTATCAATATTAATTGAATGAAATTAATTGCTAGTCGTAAGTCTTGTTACTCTGGGCTCCAGAGATTCTATTTTGCTTTCTGTGGTTGTAACGAGCAAGCGCCAAAGGAGCGATGGAGCAAAAGGGATCTCTGCATGGGTGCAAGTGTTAATTCTTTGAATTCACTAAAACAATCAGAGGCTTATTTTATAGCACAGAGTTAAAATTTGACCCTAGCCATCTGATTGGTTCATGAACTATTGTGAGCTTTGATTGGTTAAAAACTGTTTTTTTCCAGATTGTGACATAACACGCTTGGGTTTTGTATCGAACAATCAATGCTCATTGTATCCTCTGTATCTTCTTTGTAAATGAATGAATGAATGAATGATTGCATGAATGAATAAACAAATGAACGAACGAACAAATAAATGAATTTACATCATCAATTGAATGTCCGAACAAACCTCATAAGGTTCTGGAACATAATCACAAGGTGGCATTTCGACTTCTGCATTCTGTACTTTCTGTTGTAGAGAAGATCCTGGTGTAAAATAATTATAAAAGTTATTACAAAGTTATTATAAAATATACTATGCATAAAAATAATACCAGTATTTTAAAGATTGCTATAGCTGCATCTGTGTAATTGAAACATAAATGACGGAAATGATATATGAGTAACTTAAAATTTATACCCTGTAACATAAAGGCCTGTGTACCGTAAAATCCCTGTTATAAGGCCCCCCGGTTATGACCCCTTAAACTTTGTTTTAATGAGCCCTTAAATTTTGCATATAAACCCTAATTGAATAAAGACGAGATATGTAGGAAAATAAGTATTATAGTTATGCAGCTATATAAAGTAACACATATATATAATAAATATTGATTAAATAATACAAAATGGTCAAAATATACTTACAGAGAATTTACAATATTCAAAGTTACATATTGTGATAATTATGAAAATCACAGGGATATTTTATTATAATTCAGCATTGTTATCTAAAAGGGAAGACAGTCCCGCTTGTAACAAGCCCTTCTCCCTGAATAAAAGCCCTCCTGGTTATAGCCCCTTTGAATAAAAGCCCTCCTGGTTATAACCCCTTTGAATAAAAGCCCT